GACATAACCTCACGGACGTAAGACCGGCCGCGGTTGTCCTTGCGTGCTCGCGTGTCGTCCCCTGAAGGTCGCTCTCTTTACCCGTCCTGCATGCACCGGAAGCCTGTCCGATTCTTTTGTTCTAATGCCCTCAGTACAGCCCAAGTTATAACTCGGCCGTCCTAACACGTACCATCTTAGAGAGGGTCCAGAGGCGAGCAACAAAAATGGTCAAAGGTCTAGGGACACTGCCCTATGAAAGCAGACTGTCAATCCTCAACATTTTTCCTTTTTTGTACAGAAAACTAAGAGGGGGTCTCATAATAACATTCCATTTTATGAATGGCCTGAATTGTTGCTTTGTCCCCAATTATTTTTCACCCATGCTAATAGACCCACTTTGCGCGGTCATCCCCTAAAACTATGCCCCGGCAAAGCAAGTATCGGTGGACGTAAATTTTTCTTCAGTGATAGAGTAGTTGCAGCATGGAACTCTCTTCCCGAAGAGGCTTTCTTCCCCATCTGTGTTAATACAGTAAAGAGCAAACTGGACATGCACCAAACACCCGCCAATCGGGGGACAGACATACACAGATATTCCCATCACAGAAGTCCGAAGAGGAATTGGCAAGCATACGTATGCTTGCCAATTCCTCTTCGAACACAGATATTACACATATTTATTCTACTACTCGTGTTAGGCGAGTACTCCTGTTTTAATACTCTTTCGACAAACCAACAACTGCTCTGCTTTCGCCTGCAAGCATGTAATTGACGTACTTTTTTTCTATTTTCCTTGTGTATCCAGTTATTTCCTAGCATCTTGTTACCAACAGGGAGCTCAAATGTGTTCGCTTATCTTTCGCTCAATAAACGGATACTGATACACTCAAATGGGAAAACAGACTTTGAGCGCCTTACCTGACAGGCCTCCGCCCACCCTGGTGTCGACTTGACGTCAGCAGTGGAGATTTTGACTTCGTCCAGCTGGTGCCGCAGATGGTTCCAAACAAGGTTCACGTTACAGCCGTTGATCCAGTTGTGGTTGATCGAGACGCAGTCAGTCTGATACGAAAAATGGAGGAAAGTCGCGGTGGTAATGAGGGATAGTGTAATTGTTACAAGCGACGAGAGCCGGTCAACCTACCAAATTCAGGACCTCGTGATACCAGCCGGAGGGGACAAAGACAGCCTGACCAGGAAGTTGTTCAAAAACGTAACATCTAGGCAGGTCAGAATCCTGATCCGGGGAAGCAAATTGGCGATCACGGATGTCAGGCGGCAGGTTGCCCTGCACTGACAGTAATTTCTTCTCCTCACCTAGTAGCGTGGAGAATTAAAAGAAACGATCAGAGACCACGTGAGGCTGTCACGTCTAATTCACGGGAACTCTTAGGTCGGGAGTGAGACTTTTCATACTGCTTAGCTTCCGGTAAGCTGTATGTACGCAAGGCGTTATACGGTATTTTAGTCGTCTCGATGCTGTCATAAATCAGAACAGGCAACATGCAATTAAAATCGACGTGTCCTCGTCAACTTAAACAGACGAGCTATTGTACCACATGACAATTGCTGTCGCCTAAATGGGCATGTTTTCGAACACCATCAGACCCAACGATTATCCTTCATAATGGCAAAGTTTTCCCCTTCTTGTAACAAGAAGCATTAATGCTTTTCAGATTAAGGAGAAAAGAGACTTGGGGTCAGTCGGTGCTCTCCGAAGGCTGGGTGAGTTATAGAATCTCACAGCACAGAAGAGAAACCAATGTACATCAAACCGAATGGTTGGTGCAATTGCGTGTGGAATTAGTTGGTTTTCGAGGCTAGCACAAGGTTTGTTTGGCCGGCTCCAGAGTTCATAGCATCACAACAGGTTCGGCTCATGCATGGTATCGCAATCTAAGGACTCAGCAACCATTTTTAGATTAGAGTTCTATTCCTAAAAACTGAAGACTATTTAGTCCATCACTCGATTCAGGCTTGGTTGAAGCACACTAATACACTTTTAATTAGCCACTGTTTTGTGTGGTGGCGGCGGCGGTGACGACAACTGTCGACTACCAGTCGAATTAGTCCCTACATGGAACGTGACCATTTATCCGCCAGGAAGCGAATCGCTACCTTTTCCACAAAAAAACACCGCGCCGGAGGCTGTTCTAAGTTTTGCCACCCGAAGACGAACAGGGGAATTTGCAGCTACGGGACATAATTCACGTTAGACAAATAAATAAAAAAAACTCAAGTCGCCGATGGGATCTCGTAGCCCAGGAGGTTATAGCCCCGGCTGCGCCAGAGTCATGCCCTTCCTGTCGCGGACTCGAACTCTATTGCATATGTTTTCAGTATCGTCACAAACATCTACTGATCTGGTATTCAAACGACGGCAGTACCGCCAATCAGATAGATTACATTATAGTTGGTTCACGGTTTCGCAGTTGGGCACACGATAGCAGGTCGGTGCGAGGTGCCGAGACTGGTAATAGCCACGAGTCTCACAATGCTCTCGTTCGCACGCACGTGAAGGTTCACCTCTCATCTGCGCCCAAAATGCCGCGAAACTGGCAACCCAGCACTACCGAGGCCCTAAGCACATAAATCCGGTCCCGTCTTACAACCCAAGTTGACAGCGAAGGCAGTAGCAAGTGGTCATCACTGATGACATCCGTCTATGAGGCAGCTGAAAAAATTCTCGGATCCACTCAGCGGCGCTGTAGTGACTGAATCAGCGGAAAAACCCTGCAGTTGTCGGCCAAGACGACTCGAGCAATGATGCCTCCTTCCGCCAATTTTGACAGCTGACAGAAAAGCCGGCTAGAGATGACCGGTAGAAGTATTGGTCCGAAACGGCGACTTTTATGGAGCAGGCTTAAAATGTTGGTGACACTCGAAAATTGGCCAAATCATCCGCCAAGTTAGTGGTAAGCCCCGACACTCTGTGATTCTGTTCGCGCTGTGAATGGAGGTTTTATTGT